ATAGGTAGGGATCAAAAATGGTAGTAGTTAGAGACTGCTAACTTTGATGAATAAGCTGGGTATGGTCGCATTCTCAGATCGAGATCCACGATCTTTTGGTGTGGCCTGATCTTAACATGCGGTCTTCGCAATGCCGAGCGCTAGAGAAAAATTGAGTATTTTTGAAGAATTCAAGCTTGACGTCATCCATGTTGTGAGGTCGGTTAGAGAGGACTGTAGTCCTTACCGTTATGCTAGTATCCAGAGATACCGCTTTGAAGTCCCACCAATAACCTACTGAAATCTTTATCCCATGCACATCTGCTTTTGGCTGTGCAATCTACTTTTCTGTTGAGAGATCCTGCGAGGAACATGTGCAAGATGTACGCAAGGACCCCACCACTCTCTACCAACCACAAGATCTCACAAAAGTTCCTCCAGTGTGTACAAGGAAAAAAAACCCAGTCACGGTCATACGGTATGACTTGTCAGAGGGGTTCAACTCATGGGGCATCCTTCATAAAAATTTTTTCCGATAACCGAGACTGCGGAGAAGCATGGCAGTTGTCAGTTAGGTGGAGCCTAGAGAGGTTGCCAACTTACTGGTGGTTACGTTCGGCTGCGCCTCAAGAAGCTTGAGTAAAGGGCCGTCATTCTGTGCTGGTGGCCGACCTATACATTGCCTACTTCCGAGTTGAATAAGTCCAGCCTGGAAGCGCTGATGCAAAAGGAACTCTCTGCTATGGCAAGCGATATCCTTCCTCAAGACAACGTAAGTGTTAGCTTCCTCGACTATGGGGAGTTGCCCTACAGGAACTCATAATATGGGACAGGTCGAGGAGTACCTCGATCTTTGAGGTATTTTTAAGCTTTGAAAACTTCCACGGAGCCATGATATACCCATTTTCAGAAACCTCAGGAGACAGTCTCCACTAATCAGAGATAAAAACATTCAAAATGATTTTTGGTCTTTTTCTAGAATAGTTCAAACAAAGTGTCGCAGGACTTTTCGAACAACCTAATAGAAAAGCTGATTTACCTTAGAGGGTTCCTCTGTGCGGCAAGGGAGAAATTTTATGGATGAGTCTGACGAACAGGAGGAATTCTGCAAGTTAATTTTTTGTTCCGCTTGTTTCATAGGCAAGGATCGCACTACTCATATACTTTAGTCAAGCCATTTCCGGCATGCCTTCCGTTGCAAACCTTATCCCAAACAGAATCCCTCTATCTGATTTTTCGATCTTCAGAGAATGTGGGTTTTCAGAGTCATCTCCAGCCCATTGCTGTCCAAACCTTTCCATCAAACCCAGACCACTTCTCCGTTTTGCAAGTGGTGATGTCGCCGGAAGACATCACCACTTGCAAAAAAAACCCAGCAGTGAATGTTCTAAACAATAAGAAAAGAAAAGCACACCTCCAATAGATTCTTTCCACAGCCAAATATATTGTCAGGTGTAACCTTACTTATAATGGCTTGACGTCTCGACTATTGCTGTTTTCAAAGGCCTAAATATATGTTGAAGTTAAATAGCTCTCTACATGCCGCCAAACGCCGTCGTAGCATTTCTGATGGAACGTCGCGTGAAGAACTGGCAGTTTTATGTGGGAGAAAAGAACTCACCTAGTCCAGCCGCACGGAAAGTCGCCATGCGATAGCGACTGACGTTTCTCCTATTCGAGAACTTCGGTTCTTCTCTTGATATCACGTCAACGCTAGGAAATAGAGTCGTTCGGATGCTGAAAGGGCAATTTCCAATTTTTCAGCCACCTTAAGCTTCTGAGGACGACGAAGTAGTTGACCCGTCAAGCTAATATCAGTAGTTTTACCTAACAATCTGTTTGGCACAATATACCGGAAACAGTGGAGTTTCACAACAATGCCGAAGCTTGCTGCAACTTTTCTCGGTTCACGAGAAAGTTAGCCTTTTTTCACAGTGTTATATTTGTTCCCTAGCAATTCTTTCTCACTGATAAGGCAGTAATTCTACTCACAGTTGCAACGTTTCAGGCGCAATGTCAAGAGCAGTTCTTAACCGTCGATTCTGCTCATTCTTCGCTTCTTGTTTCTCCCAATGAAGATAGAATGAAGGTAAGAATCTATTGGAGGTGTGCTTTTCTTTTCTTATTGTTTAGAACATTCACTGCTGGGTTTTTTTTTGCAAGTGGTGATGTCTTCCGGCGACATCACCACTTGCAAAACGGAGAAGTGGTCTGGGTTTGATGGAAAGGTTTGGACAGCAATGGGCTGGAGATGACTCTGAAAACCCACATTCTCTGAAGATCGAAAAATCAGATAGAGGGATTCTGTTTGGGATAAGGTTTGCAACGGAAGGCATGCCGGAAATGGCTTGACTAAAGTATATGAGTAGTGCGATCCTTGCCTATGAAACAAGCGGAACAAAAAATTAACTTGCAGAATTCCTCCTGTTCGTCAGACTCATCCATAAAATTTCTCCCTTGCCGCACAGAGGAACCCTCTAAGGTAAATCAGCTTTTCTATTAGGTTGGTCGAAAAGTCCTGCGACACTTTGTTTGAACTATTCTAGATAAGACCAAAAAATCTTTGACAGTTTATTTAATTATTGGAGGATTGTCTCCTGAGTTTCTGAAAATGTCATGATTCATGCGCCCTCCGTAGCAGCTTTTCAAGTTAAAAAATACCTCAAAGATCGAGGTACTCCTCGACCTGTCCCATATTATGAGTTCCTGTAGGGCAACTCCCCATAGTCGAGGAAGCTAACTCTTACGTTGTCTTAAGGAAGGATATCGCTTGCCATAGCAGAGAGTTCCTTTTGCATCAGCGCTTCCAGGCTGGACTTATTCAACTCGGAAGTAGGCAATGTATAGGTAGGCCACCAGCACAGAATGACGGCCCTTTACTCAAGGTTCTTGAGGCGCAGCCGAACGTAACCACCAGTAAGTAGGCAACCTCTCTAGGCTCCACCTAACTGACAACTGCCATGCTTCTCCGCAGTCTCGGTTTTTGGAAAAAATTTTTATGAAGGATGCCCCATGAGTTGAACCCCTCTGACAAGTCATACCGTATGACCGTGACTGGGTTTTTTTTCCTTGTACACACTGGAGGAACTTTTGTGAGATCTTGTGGTTGGTAGAGAGTGGTGGGGTCCTTGCGTACATCTTGCACATGTTCCTCGCAGGATCTCTCGAACAGAAAAGTAGATTGCACAGCCAAAAGCAGATGTGCATGGGAAAAGATTTCAGTAGGTTATTGGTGGGACTTCAAAGCGGTATCTCTGGATACTAGCATAACGGTAAGGACTACAGTCCTCTCTAACCGACCTCACAACATGGATGACGTCAAGCTTGAATTCTTCAAAAATACTCAATTTTTCTCTAGCGCTCGGCATTGCGAAGACCGCATGTTAAGATCAGGCCACACCAAAAGATCGTGGATCTCGATCTGAGAATGCGACCATACCCAGCTTATTCATCAAAGTTAGCAGTCTCTAACTACTACCATTTTTGATCCCTACCGCATCCTTAAGAAGGCAAAAATTCCGAAAATCGACGTCTACTCAAAAATGAGGTCCACCTCTTCTTCTTATCATAGTTGCCGTAGTTCTATAAGAATGGAAATGAGAAGCTGTGCAAAAGAAGGGCACTAGTCCTAGTCCTTAGTGGTGATTACCTTGTAGATTGGAGATGTCTTTTAGTGACTGAAAATTTAGTCCGAAAAATTGGTCAAAGTGTCGCAGGACTTTTCGACCAACCTAATATTTGAAGAGAAATGTATCGTATGTGCAATTCAGAAGCTCGAATTTTGTTTTTCAGACAATCGCGCAATCACCAGCGTCTACAGGCTCACAGCCACAGCAGCAGGACTTGTCATCTGGGGTAAAATGAATTTTTATAGTCAAGTAAGCCAATCTGATGAACATCTTTTCAAGAAAATTTCAGCCACAGTTTGAAGAACCTGTCTTCAGCCAAGGGCCAAAAATAGTTGAGCTCAAAGAACAGTAAGTTCGATTGCTTTGATCATTTGCTTTTCAGTAAACTAATAACATACCATTCAGACAACCGGACAGGAACGGAGATCCCACAAAACTGGCCCTTGTCCAAGTACCGCTTAGAGACGACAAGTCACTTCCACTACAAGGTCCAACAACATTACCCAATTTGTTAATTTTCAGATTTCCCACAACTACAGGTCAAGTAATTATAATTATTGTAGGAAAGAGTGATGACGCAGTGGAATTGAGGGAATGGTCTATTCGATTTGTTCTACCCTGCCGCAGTAATCCATCACTTGGTTTCCCTAACTTTATTCTTTTAGGGACCAGAGAGTGAGCCAATTGCCAATTTGGAGAGCAAAGTTTTGTGACTGTTTCGTAATTTGTTGGTTCCTCATAGAGATCACCCCCGTCGGTGGCAATCATCCATTGTAATTCGTGTTGAGAGTGCGCAAATCTTGTATACAAGTTCTTCTACAAAGTATCGGCTCGTAGGGGAAATTGACATTATGGATTGTGCATCCGCAGGTATATGGACGCCTGCATATTATCTCATTGTCAGTATAGTACTTTCTCGAATTTTCTCTTCATTCAGGCTTCCCTAAGGACTTTGTCTCAATGTTTTTGATGGGATTTCCTCCTAACTGGAAAACACAGATAACAAGGCTGTATAAGTGAGACCACTTTTTAATCTGCAAATTGCTGGATTGTTCGTTCCTGTCAAGAAAAATTGTTTAGTAGCGCTCTCGGACACTTGGAGGTTAACGAAAACATTAAAGAAAACCGCAACGACTACCGGGATGAGAAAATGAAACATCATCTGTTTAAAGACAATGACGATGAAGTAAGAAACTCACGATTTTCTCGTCTCAAGCGTATCTTATTCAATGATGTTCTCTGAATCGTTCATCGAACTTTGTTTTGCAGATAACTGATTCCACTGAGCCAGGACCGAACAGCTACAAGCAGAACGCTTCTGTCAACAGTAAGCCTCTTCCTTTACTCATTTCTTCCTCGTACTATTGTTAAGGAAGCGTTCAGACTTCTCGAGGAGGCGCTGTAATACCTACAATGACAGCAGTACCTCAACGCTATAGAGAACTCAGCCGCAGGCGGGAGTCAAGTGGCTCCACCTGCTTATGTATTGAAAGAGTATGGGGGAATGTGCTCAATCACTTGATCCAGTATCGATCGCCACTTGCCCCGGGGGCGCCGATCGATAGCAGACCAGCATCTGTGGCAACTGTAGCGCATCGCCGCGCGTCATCGCGAAGTCTGTATGTTGTCTGCTAAGAACACTATATTCTTAATGCTTTACGCGGAACGGGTCCGCACCCGGCGAAGTATTCCACCACCACAGAAGTGTTTCATTTTTTTCTTCATTTCCGCGCACTATCGAAAGTCGAAAGTTGCTCGTTTCTAAAGCTGCAGACCTGTTCCACTCTTGCGCGGCAAGGATCCATCTCAGTGAGAAGTGCGAAAAATGTCTTTACATCACCATCATTTTTCTTCTGGTGCTTCCTACCAGAACTACCGACTACTGATCTTGCAGATTCGATTAGGCGTAAAAACAGCAGCAGTGCCGATGAAGTCTTCGTTTCTAATCCAGAACAACCGTCTACTTCAGGTTCAGTTTCGTATTTCATTTATGGAATAGCAAAATATGTGATATCTGTTTTGCACTAGCTAGAATAAAGCTACAATTTGAGTTGTTCGTCGGTCCCGAAGTGGTCGCACCGTTCGATCGCCACTCGCCTCATGGGCTGGACAGCGTGTACGCTATGATGGTGCTGGCAACGTTATTGCGGTGGAAGATGTAAAAACGCCTACTGTACATTCGCAAGGAGTAACCAAGACGGTCCGTAGTCAATAATTCAAGAAAAAAACCATGTCATTTTATGTGCCATTTTCTAGCTAACACTTTCCAATCACTACGGTCTTTCCCCCTCCATTACACCACGTGAAAAGTTCTCAAGAATACGGGAACCTATGGCTATAGGTGGACCTAAGCAAGTTTCGAGGCGTGGACCTTCAGTATGCTTTTTATGTCTCTTAGCCTCTTTGTTTCCCTTTCCTTTATTCATCTGTGCATTAGGTAGCGACGAGAGGTGATTATGAAAATCGCCATCGCAACAGAAAATTCGTGTCAGCGTCATCCTCTGACGACGAAATATCGGTGCGGAAATACGGTATTAGGCGTAACAAGGTGGGCTTCGCTTCGTTCGTTCCATTACATACTCGATTACAAGAAAAAGCAACCAAGGTGTTAGGTTCAATGGGACGACGACGAGTTTGAGCGACAGCTGAGGGAGGAACGCCTTCTTTTTATGGAGGGGGCCAGAGATCTTCGAAAGATGCAAAAGAATTTGCTGTTACTGGAACAACGTATTGCTGAGAGGGAAGCAGCTTGGTTGAGGAACAAAAAAATGATGAGGAGGATGCATTCACACGGTCATGTTGATGTAGAGCAAAGAGAGAAAAAACAGCAAGAAAGGCATTACTCCAAAAAAGGTGGGTCGGCTTATGATTGGAGATTACCTTTAAAGTTTGTGAGTAGTGGATATAATTGAAGGCCATCAAAAATGCTACAAGCAAGTGCCTCATCGACGTGCTGACGAACAAAGACGATACCTGGAGGAAAGGGAGTTAGAAAGGAGACGTCTCGAAGAGTGGGCTCGAGAGAACGAGCAAATCTCTTCTGGATCTGAAGATCTCAATGATGAGAGCTGGTGTGAACCAGGTTTGTGGGTTGTTGAGTTCGCGTTTATACACATATGCTCTTCGGTTCCAGTTCGGAAAAGGAAAAAGCAGTCAACCCGAAAAGTACGTGTGGAAAGTTGCTCTTCTTCTGAACTTTCCTCTCTTGACGTGAGTTCTTCCCGTACTTGTACGGTCTTGTTCACGCACCTTTCAAGCTGAGTGATTTAACAAGACCGCCATTCTCATGACATTTTTAGATAGTTTACCTCTCACTTCGAATGGTCACTTCGACCTGGCATTCTAGTTTACCTCTCACTTCGAATGGTCACTTCGACCTGGCATTCTCTCCTTTTATAATGGGTTAGAAACTCTAAATCTGATTAATTTAGGATGAACAGAGTGACGAGGAAGGTAATGTTGGGTCGACGAGAAAACAAGAAGGACCTTCTGAATCAGTTGTCAAAAAAGAAAAAGGCTGGAGCAAAGCGGAATTGCACAGATTGAAGGTGGTAACAAAAAATTGTTCATGAATGCTACTCGAAACATTGGACGAATCCCTCTTTTAGCTGGCTCTTGCTGCGATTCGAGTAGTTACCGATGAAGACTGGGAAAAAGTAGCGCGTTCTTTGGGAAATATGCGTAGTATGGAATCATGTAAACAGGTGTGAACTGCATGTTATTTCGTTCTATTATTCCTTTTTCGACGATCACTGGAGTCATGAGGAATGGCCCATTTTCCTATCGAACTACAAATGTAACATCTATTTCACAAACAATCTTGTTTAGTTCAGTAAAAGAAGAAGAGGTAGAGGTAACGGTCACAAAAGCCCCAAGTGAGGCCCTCTTGGTTCTCAGTGAGAAGCAGTGACTTGATACGGCTTGATAAGAGACCAGACAAGGGAAGAGAGGAAACATGTGAACGAGCATAGCGACGGACTCAACAACTGGCAACGTGGGCGGATGGGCACTCAAGCAATCTTAGGCCCCTACCTTCTGATGCAAAACTTGTACGGTCGTTGACTGCTGCCCACATTACCTCCTCCCACCATTCAATGAGAATTTAAGCTTTATTAGGTGACCTCATACCGTGCCTTTGAAGGCAACTGATACGATGATTCAGTGCTTGGCCTAAAATGCTAGTAGGGCGCTATATAGTGGGGAAATGGCGAAAGAACGGAGTGAAACGGTCAAAATCCTGCGAAGAAAGAGCCTCCGTTCTCAATGTGTTAGAAATCAATTTTGGACGAGTTTCCTGTAGGCATCTTGCCAATAACCGCTACCGAAGGTACGGCTGCATATGTGTACATATATCCATGCAGCATCACGGCCGCTTCATACCAATCCCTTCGCTTCATAATTTGCTTAGCAAATGAATCGATTAGAGCGTCAGGAACGGTCGTCCATTTGTGGGCGGGCGGGCGTTTGGGACGTAAAGTTGTGGCTTGATAGGGCCCTTATAAGGGCACCTTCCTCGGGGAAACCGCTATGCAGCGCCTGCTCAGGGTCGCGGAATTCCGTCCTGCCAGGCGTATTGATCCTAGTCGTCTGGGATTTATCGTGCCAACTGCCTTTACCGATTTTCGGGAACATCTAAGAGTGGTACGCTTACTACAGTTTGAAAAATAGACGTCATTCATGACGCAGCCCAGTGCCCGATCAGTACTCTGTACAAATCGACCATGTCCGAAGTACAGTTGCGATGCTTCTACCTTCTTTTTCCTCTTGTGGTTAGCTAATATATCAATTTCGAAGGTGCTTAATTAGTCGACCCAATTTCTCTAGGCGGCCATCAAGCGTCTGAAGTGGGAACCACCTGTTGACAACGAAGAACCACCTCCGATTACCTCAGAAACAGTAACTGCACGGGCAGGAACGATTGCACATCAGCATCAGACGAATGAGTACACCAGGTATGTCTCCCTTATTGCATTCGTCTAATAACGATACATATTGGAATGTTTTATAGAAAATTCATGTTGGGAGGTGGGGAGCAAAGCGAGGATTTTTTCATACAGAATAACGTCAACCTCAGTGAGGTGCGTTTATGTTTGACATTTAAATACCCCTAGCAACATCAGATTATCATCCCATGCTTCCAGAGCATTGTTGATGTGGCAGAATTTGGTGCCGACGATTCATTACTGGAGGTTCTACGCACGCCCGTAGATGTCGTGGCTCAGAGAAAGGTTGCAATTAGTTGGCCATCACATGCTTGAGCTTATACTTGTCTTTTGAAGGGTCCAAACCGTCGTAATTTTATCGTGGAGCCATTAGATGACGATACTCCGGTCAGAAGAGAAAGCGGCGCCGTTCTCATGGCTACACCAACAAACTCTGCTCAACGGTACGCTAAAATAAGTGCTCCAAATCTTGTATAATGCCTTATTGAACTTGCAGAGAACGTCAAGACCGCTACCTCTATCATATCATGAATAAAGCCGGCCATCGTAATGATGTTTCTCGACTCAACTACACACGGAATACTTCTCGTCTCGATACGTTTCGACATGAACTGACCTCAAAAGATGTAAGTATATGTGCTCTACAATGGAAAAAAAGTTGTAGGTGGATGATCTTTCCTTGAGAAACCGGTGAGTAAAGACGTCTAATCCGTGCCACCTCATATGACCTCGTCGTTCCATCTTTACGATCGCTCCTATGTGCCGCCTGCTTCTCTTATTGTTTGTGCTCCAAAAGTACTGCTCCTCTCGTGGCATGTTTAGTGTTGCTATATGAATGGTATTCCAAAATGTTCTAGAGGAGGTCGAAATCTGCGGTTGACGCAGAGTCCTCGCGCAGTTTTCATAATCAACATAACTAGATCCTTTTGCCATCCACATCTGCCCCTCCTGGCTCTTCTTCATTATTTATCTCATTCAGTCGGAATCGGCTGCTCTGATACTGTGACATAACTTCTCCCGATTGAATACCTGTTCGGGATAAGTGCCAGCTATTTTCGGATTAGAATTTAACGAGTCGAGAAAGCGTTATGGGGGCGTCTTTTATGCCGCTATCCTGGCTCCTCCATCTCTGTCAGCTAGGGCAGCTATCCACAGCCATTTTGTTGTGTACGTTAAAGGCAGTTTCCGCAATAAACTAAGGCTATAACTCTTAAATGTGTCAGATGATCCGGTAGGCGATTGTAGAGGTGCACTGCATTCAAAACTTGCAAAATGGCACGCAAAGCACAGTAAACTTCGATTTTAGGCCCAAGGAGGCCCTTGCCGGCCTACCTTGCCCGTGTCCTCTAACGTGCTCGTAGCTGTGCTCTCGCCCGTCATTTTCTGGTTCTCTCTCCGCGCTTTGCAGTGTATCGTCACCTTCTGCATATCACTGTTGATCTTGACCATCCTACTCTCGTCCGATGATCATGATCAAGTGCAAGGAGGAGGGTCATATTGAGGACGGTTTTTCATACATTTTTTCTTCACTACTAAGTCAACTAGCACAATGCACTCCTGTTTTTGAACCCTGCTACCTATGTTGTGCAGTCGCGGGAAGTGCCTTTAACACGACAAATACGCCCTCAACGCATGATGCCCACCGTCCGACGTAACATTTTCATCTCCATCACAGCGAGAATGCTTCGAAATTTTTGGTGTCCGCGTCTGCTCCTTCAGCATCACAAATATTTCGACATGCTTAACTCGATGTGTGTCTCAGGTGGAACTCAGTGGTAGCTGAGCTTAGATTTATTTACTGTAGTGTCACTGAATCATGCCTGATTCACTGCCGATTCCCGCTTCCAAGATCTTCGCACGTGTGTGCACCCCTTCTTCTTCTTCAGCGTTTGTCCCGCTCGATCGCGGGGTCCGCTCTTTTGATACAACTACGCCACTTTTCCCGATTGGATGCCTGATCGGGGTGAATGCCGGCTATTTTCAAGTCGGTATGCAACGTGCCAGCGCTGTTTGGGACGCCCCTTTGGCCGCTTTCCTGGTACCTCGAGTTCGAGAGCAGTTTTACGGACGGTGTCAGCCTTCGCGCGAAGTACGTGCCCGTACCATCGAAGGCGCGTTTCACGCATTTTCTCTGCTATGGGGGCTACACCATACTTCTTGCGCACGACATCGTTACATGCGGTCCGATCGCGTGACGCCCGCCGTCCAGCGCAACATCTTCATCTCCATCACACCAAGGCGAGCCTCAACTTCTTTGGTCGCGGGCCAGCACTCGGCACCATATAACGCGACAGGTCGGACGACAGTACGATAGATCTTTGACTTGAAACGCTCTGGCATTTTCTTGTCGCAAAGGATCCCAGACATGGATCGACCATGCCGCACTCACTCGTGCGCTCACTTCCGAGTTCAGACTGCTATCGGACGCAAGTGCTGATCCGAGATACTTGAATGTTTCCGTGCGCTTGAGCACCGTGTCATCGATCTTAATGGAGCCCGGCTCATTTGGGTCGGTTGTCAGGTACTCGGTCTTGTTGACGTTCAACCTGAGTCCAAACTTCGCCAGACGCTCGGCCCAAGCTTGCACCTGCTGTTCCAGTGCGCTCTTATCTTCACAAGCAAGCATCACATCATCAGCGTAAAGCAGGGTCCAAGGCACTTCCTTCTGAAGATCTCGTGAGATGGCATCCATGACGGCAACGAAAAGAAGTGGGGAGAGCGCAGAGCCTTGTGCACGTGGTATGCGCCCCTATGTCATGAAATTCACAGCGAGCGTTGCAGCGCCATTATGGCGTTGGAGCCTGCGGAAGAGACGGGATCATTGGTGGTACAAGATTGCGATATCAGCTGATATGGCTTGGTATGTAACAGGAAAAATATTTTACTCCCTCTTGTGCATTCGCTTTAGAGGAGTTATTCAGCCTCTGCAGAGAGTGGGCGCGATGGCTGGGGATATGCTGTTACTGCCAGCGTCAGTCGTGTAAGGGCTGCGAAAGGACATTTGGCCTCACCCCACTTAGGCCTTCCACCAGTGATGCTGGCGGTGACCGCATATCCTCAGCCATCATGCCCCAGCCTTCAAACTATGGTTCGCAATATTGTGGATGCTCATAGGAGTATCATGAGCAGTGGAAATTTGCGGGATACAGAGTAGCTGGTAGCGAAACAGATGAATGGAGCGGGTCAAAAGTTCACTTCATGCAGGAGGTGTAGAGAGACGTGCAACAGAATCGTCCGGGGCAGCGCCCGCGGCACGCGGCGCGTCGCGCGGCGAATGACTCAGCAGCTCACGGAGTGCATTTGCTAGCCGATAGCTTTGCGACTGGAGCAATGATTACTACAGCGTACATCCGCAACGTTTACCAGATTCCATCAATAATTGAACAGAATCGTCCGGGGCAGCGCCCGCGGCACGCGGCGCGTCGCGCGGCGAATGACGCAGCAGCTCACGGAGTGCATTTGCTAGCCGATAGCTTTGCGATTGGAGCAATTGATTACTACAGCGTACATCCGCAACGTTTACCAGATTCCATCAATAATTGAAAATCTAAATGATGTTTCTCTTGATAGTAACACACAATTGTTTGGCGGATCCATAGACGCAACTTCAGGAAATAAACAAATACAAAAGAAAACAAATAAGGCAGTTATCCCTACGTTTATGTGATTCACATGATTCGCGCAGTCGTCAGCGTCAACATGATAGATGGATGGTCAAGTTTTCCTGTGAGCTGCTGTAAAAGATGACACACCAGAGCAAATGTTAAAGACCCTAATGAAGTTCATGCTCTAATGAACTTTTCATTCTCTATGGAAAAACAAGAAAAAACTAAAAACTTAACCGTAACTGAACACAAGACTCGATCCTGGGTGATACCAACCTTGACCGTTCCTTTAATATCCCTATTCATACGGCCATCCGCTGCACTGGACGATTCTGTTGCTACACACCTCGGGGGTGTATGACGCGCAAACCAGTATTATCAACTAGCTAGTTGGCTCAACATGCCATTTTGGCGTGAATCGGCGGAAGAGAAGCTTATCGATTGGTGAACTGTTTGAGACAAAGGCCACGGAAGAAGTCATATAGACGTGAGACTCTGTTCATACTTTGCGTCAGCGTTTTAGCGGCTAGGAAAATGTTGATATCGATATAGCGTTTTGAGCGTACACCAGCAACTCCCCGCGAAAAGAAAGCTACTCGAAAAAACGTTCAGACTTTACATCGATATCTATACTTGCCTAGTCGGTCGGAGCGCTACCCTACGCTCAAAGTGCTGACGCAAATTATGAATGCAACCATGATTTGATGAAATGAGAGCGAAAGTGCTACGTCGAGTGAACTAGCTAGATATGCTGATTCCGCGTGACATTTCTGAAGTACAAAGGATGTGTTGGCGAAGTCATTTCCATAACGTTACTCCGCGTAATGCGCCGACGCCAGGCCAACTGGCAATAAATATTTCGCGACGGAAAAGTCAACCCATATTCCCTTGAATGTCAATTCTCCTACCTAAAATGCTCCATCAATTTTCGATCCTTTTCTTCTTCAGATGAATGCTTTTGGTGGTCTACACGAAGATCTTGAAGATGTAGCGAAAATGACAAGGAAAGCAATGCCAAAGAGGATTGTGGAGGAGGACAATTCAGACCTAGAATTGGAGCTTGATGAGAATCATTTCGATGATAGCGAACACTCTGAGGGGTCATTATGATGGCGAGGATGGAAACGTTTGTTGGAAAACTCACGAAATTTCAACATCTAGTTACCATTAAGCGACATTTATTATAGGTTACTAACAAAAGTAGGCTTCAGTTGCCTTAAAAATGCATGTATTATGAAACGTAAATATTTTTTCACACTGAATTTTTGTTTGCAAACTTCCTCCAGACAGAATATTCTCCTGTTCTCACCCTAGAACCATCTTATTATAATCTTGGTATGTCTTCACTAACCATAACGTTCTTCCTTCTTCTATTGAGAAAAGATTTGTTATTTATTCCTTGAAAGGAGTTTAACACTACTGACACATCACCTCTAGGAGATTCAGAGGGTTTGGCCGTTTAATTCCTTTGAACATGGCGTGTAATGCGTTTTTTTGTGAGATATTTCCATTAAAGACAACTGATGGTTCCCAAAACGGCAGTATCCCATCAAAAGCGCAGTCGCCACTGGTTCATGTGAAGTACGCAGCCGTGCCCTTTCCATCTCCGGTATAAGCAGTATAAGTCATGCAGTTCGTCTATCATTACCTTATCTTGTTCTATATCTCGATTTATAAAGGAAGATGTAGTTTCTGTCTTGAATCAGCTTCCAAATAAACACCCACTTCAGCCCAACAACCACTGCATCATAGAAAGAGGCTTCATCCATGACAAATGCCAATCAAAGGAAAGGAACTTCACGTATGAAAGTGTTCGCAAAGCTGATTTCTGCAAGCAGGAGTAACCCTCTCACTTCCTCAACTGTCAGACATGGTCAGGCTATCACCTGAGCGCAGTTTTTTCGGGACTGTCGCTGAAAGATCCTGCCATTGACATAGATAGAGGCGCTAGTACTGTTCTGACGTCCATTGCGCACGTGGGAAAGGTCCACCCTGTAGGTAAGCGTAGTGTATCACCACTGTGGTAAACTTGCGTCCATGGTGCGCCGATGAACCGTAACACCTCTGCCAGCAGCCTTTCTCTACTGAAAAATTCAAGTTTGCCTACTCCCTAAACCGTTGTTTCTATAATAAGAAACCCGTTGAACAGTGAAGGGTGGCTTTCGGAGTATTTCCTGCCGTTGAGAAAAATTTTCGCGAAATATACCATTTTCACTTTAAATTCACCCTTTTTCAAACCAAATTCGTCCTTTTTCAAACCAAATTCGTCCTTTTTCAAACCAAATTCGTCCTTTTTCAAACCAAATTCGTCCTTTTTCAAACCAAATTCACCCTCACTTTTCATCAAGAACCACACTTATTAGGGCGGGCAACTCATCAACCAGATCACGCCAGACATCAC